TATCCTCGAAGTCCAACAAAGTTCAGGAGGCTCACAGTGGCTTTAAGGCAAGAGGTGAGACCCACTGCAGCAATTAACAAGTCATCCACATATTGCAGGAGGAGGACTTTGTCCTCATTGTCCCACTCCTCCAAGTCTCTAGCCAGGGCCTGGCTGAAAAGGGTGGGGGAATTTTTAAATCCCTGAGCCAGCACTGTCCAGCAAAGCTGCTTTCTAACCCTCCTTTTGTCCTCCCACTCGAAGGAGAAAATCTCCTGAGACTGGAGGTCAACCGGAATCGTGAAGAAAGCATCCTTTAAATCCAGGACTGAAAAATGGGTGTACTGCCCCCTATAGAGGCCAACAATGTATATGGATTTAGAACAAGGGGGTGTAGAGTCTATTTACACATTCCAATTCCTGTCCTTGGTTGTTGAGGTCGATCAGAGTTAAACATGGAAGGACAGAGTTTAAACATGGAAGAACTCTGGCTCAGGCAGGCCTAGTAACCCCAACACTCCTGCACCCCAACCCCCTGCCCTGAGCCCCCTTCCTTTACCCCACAGCCCCTCCCACACCCCTCCTGCACCCTGCACCCCAACTTCCTGCCCCAGCCCTACATTCATGGCCCTGAGTGCAATTTCCCCACCCACATTGGCCCTTGGGCCAAAAAGTTTGCCCACCCCGATCTAGATCAATCAAGTGAGGCCAGCCCCTGGCTGTGTGTCTGTCAGCTCCCACTATGTCCGGCTGTCTAGCTCCGGCCCGGCTGGCTCCAGGAGGGGAACAGACAGTCCTGCTGCAGCAGGCAGGGGAATTATATCCAAAAACCAAGTTTCAGAGGGGTAGCCGTGTTAGTCTGAATCTGTAAAAAGCAACAGAGGGTCCTGTGGCACCTTTGAGACTAACAGAAGTATTGGGAGCATAAGCTTTCGTGGGTAAGAACCTCACTTCTTCAGATGCAAGTAATGGAAATCACCAGAGGCAGGTATAAATCAGTCTGGAGATAACGAGGTTAGTTCAATCAGGGAGGGTAAGGTGCTCTGCTAGCAGTTGAGGTGTGAACACCAAGGGAGGAGAAACCATTCACAGTCTTTGTTTAATCCTGATCTGATGGTGTCAAATTTGCAAATGAACTGGAGCTCAGCGGTTTCTCTTTGGAGTCTGGTCCTGAAGTTTTTTTGCTGTAAGATGGCTACCTTTACATCTGCTATTGTGTGGCCAGGGAGGTTGAAGTGTTCTCCTACAGGTTTTTGTATATTGCCATTCCTGATATCTGACTTGTGTCCATTTATCCTCTTGCGTAGTGACTGTCCAGTTTGGCCAATGTACATAGCAGAGGGGCATTGCTGGCACATGATGGCATATATAACATTGCTGGACGTGCAGGTGAATGAGCCGGTGATATTGTAGCTGATCTGGTTAGGTCCTGTGATGGTGTTGCTGGTGTAGATATGTGGGCAAAGTTGGCATCGAGGTTTGTTGCATGGGTTGATTCCTGAGTTAGAGTTGTTATGGTGCGGTGTGTGGTTGCTCGTGAGAATATGCTTAAGGTTGGCGGGTTCTCTGTGGGCGAGGACTGGCCTGCCTCCCACGGTCTGTGAAAGTGAGGGATCATTGTCCAGGATGGGTTGTAGATCACTGATGAAGCGTTGGAGAGGTTTAAGCTGAGGACTGTAGGTGATGGCCAGTGGAGTTCTGTTGGTTTCTTTTTGGGGCCTGTCTTGTAGCAGGAGGCTTCTGGGTACACGTCTGGCTCTGTTGATTTGTTTCTCTATTTCCCTGTGTGGGTATAGTAGTTTTGAGAATGCTTGGTGAAGATCTTGTAGGTGTTGGTCTCTGTCTGAGGGGCTGGAGCAGATGCGGTTGTACCTCAGCACTTGGCTGTAGACGATGGATCGTGTGGTGTGTCCGGAGTGGAAGCTGGAGGCATGAAGGTAGGCGTAGCAGTCGGTGGGTTTTTTTTATACAAAAATATGCAAGAATTGTTTTGGGGTATATTAAAAATATGTAAGGCAAAGGTTACAAAGATGTCCTGGATCTCAAAAGGTTTAGTTTATACAATAAAGTAAGTGAGGAACACAGCTGGCCACACAATAGCAGATGTAAAGGTAGCCATCTTACAGCAAAAAAACTTCAGGACCAGACTCCAAAGAGAAACTGCTGAGCTCCAGTTCATTTGCAAATTTGACACCATCAGATCAAGACTGTGAATGGCTATCCAACTACAGAAGCAGTTTCTCCTCCCTTGGTGTTCACACCTCAACTGCTAGCAGAGCACCTCACCCTCCCTGATTGAACTAACCTTGTTATCTCCATACTGATTTATACCTGCCTCTGGAAATTTCCATTACTTGCATCTGAAGAAGTGAGGTTCTTACCCATGAAAGCTTTTGCTCCCAATACTTCTGTTAGTCTTAAAGGTGCCATAGGACCCTCTGTTGCTTAACACTGTAGTGGAGTCGGTAGAAAGAGACCATGTAATGGGAAGCGGGGGGAGGAATGGTGGGGAACAGAGAATGGGATAAAAGATGAAAATATGAGGGGGGGGGAAGCTGTTGCTCTTCAAGGAAATGATAGGACATAGGAGGGAGGGTGAAGGAAGAAACATGGAGACAGAAGAACATTTTAATATTATAATTTTGGGCATCTATCACTATCATACCTAAGCACTATAGCAAGAAAGGTAACAGTGCAGTGGAAAAACTCTGAAAACCACATGGGAATTTACAAAATGCAAAGATCTTGGGTTTTAGTCACTGGAATTTTTATGTATACATTTGGTTATTTCATTCAGAGGTAAAGTCAATTTGGCAGAAACTTGCAGAGTTGTGTGCTGGGATTCGGCTAAACAGCGCATTAAAGTTAATGAGAGTCAAACAACTAAATCTCTTTGTACTAAAATATTGAACGCCTACCCCTGAAAGTCTAACTGCTGTCACAGATCTACTTAAAATTTTTCCCCTGCTCATATGATTAATCCACTGGTTTAAACTAATTTGGCATTCTAAAAGAGCAGTTTGCATAGAATAATTGCTCAATATTCTTGCCTGTGTGCATGCAGGCATATCACCCTTTTATGTAGTCAAAAATGCTGTGCCATTTAAAAAAAAAAAAGCAAGGTCAAACTTCAAGGGGTTCTCATCTCTTGTAGTGTTAGCCATTATAAAGCAAAAGCAAATTGCCAGTGCTTTTATACGTTAATTTTCTTTATTGTTATGGTCTTAGGGCCTGACCTTGTGATTCTTTTTTTTAAACACAAAAGATACCTGTTGTGTTCTTGATTATTCATTCCTCTTGCCAGGGAAAATAAAATGCAACAGGCATGTTTCCCTTCAGTATATCCTTACTAGGGGGATGCATCCTGGGTGACTAATTGCAGGCCTCTTTCAAGTAGTGCAGTTGTACATTAATTACAACAAAGCTTGCTTTCAAATAAAAGAGCTAGTGGATACTTTCATTGTTTTTTATTACACATTAAAATAGTTTGGCTGGATCAGATTAAGCTTGGGATCTTTAGCTTTCATAAAAACAGAATTCTGTTCACATGTATTTCTTCATACAAGTCACTGAAATGGAAGAACTTTACAGGTAACCTTCAGAATAGTGTAAACAGATGGCTTCCAGTACTGGGGTATTGGGCTACATGGTGCTATGCTGAACCAGCTTCTAAGCCTTTTTTTAAATTTGTGAATTAACATCTGCAGTGCCCAATCTTAATAGAAACCACTCCAAACTTTTCTCTTCTCTTCAGTGGATCTGTATCAGGACCAGGAATGGAATGTTTTTGTGTTTTTGTCCTCTCTGGGTTGGGGTTTTATTGCAGGGTTCTGAGTTTAACCCAAGCTGATACTTGCTTGGAAAAACTCTAGCTGAAGTGTTTCCATTTCAACTCAACATTTCCAAGACTATCTTCACACATAAAAAGGCTAGAAACTTTAAAATGAAAACTGAGATTCTGATTTACATTTCTAGATCTCCTAAGTTAGGAGAGGAAAGCTAGTTCTCTTTGCAAT